TGTACAGCCTAGAGAGAGGGTAAAGCAGAACCTAAAAAGGTGGTCAAGTTACAGTTTCAGTATTTGGAAAAAGAACAAAATGGTTTTGTTTGCTTGGGGTGCATATGAGATCATGCAGTAGAAATGTTGTTAGTGGCTTTGTGCATCCAGAAAGCCAGCCTTGGTGACACACCTGGTGTTAGAAAGGTTCTGGCACCATTGTTAGAGTCTTAAATCTATTCAGTTCTAGCAAAAAAATCACATTTCTGGGAGAATCACACAGAATCACAGAATCCCAGGGCTTGGAAGGGACCCCAAAAGCTCACCCAACCCAATCCCCCTGCCAGAGCAGGATCACCCAGAGCACATCACACAGGAACGTGGCCAGGGGGGTTTGAATGTCTCCAGAGCAGGAGACTCCACAGCCTCTCTGGGCAGCCTGGCCCAGGGCTCTGTCACTCTCACAGCAAAGAAGTTCTTTCTGAGATTCACATTGAACCTCCTATGCTCCAATTTACACCCATTACCCCTTGTCCTGTCACTGGTCATCACTGAGAAAAGCCTAACTCCATCCCCCTGACACTCACCCCTTACGTATTTGTAACCATGGATGAGGTCACCCCTCAGTCTCCTTTTCTCCAAGCTGAAAGTTCTCCAAGCTAGAAGTTTGCTCAAATTGAGTATTTACAAAGATCTTAATTTGCTGAATATTCTTGTCATCTCTAGCCTGGTGATGTTTACTTGGCTCTTATTTTAAACATACAATAACAGCATCCCAGCCTGGTTTGGGTTGGAAGGGACCTTAAAGCTCATCCAGTCCCAACCCCCCTGCATGGGCAGGGACACCTCCCACCAGCCCAGGCTGCTCCAAGCCCCATCCAACCTGCCCTTCAACACTGCCAGGGATGGGGCAGCCACAGCTTCCCTGGGCACCCTGGGCCAGGCTCTCACCACCCTCACAGGGAAGAATTTCTTCCTAATGTCTCACCTAAATCTCCTCACTTCCAGCTTAAAACCCTACCCCTTTGTCCTATCATTACATGCCCTTGTCAAAAGTCCCTCTCCAGCTTTCCTGTAGGAAACATTTTAAAAATAAATTAATCAATTTAAATTTAGAATTTAAAGTAAATTAAAAATTAAAACAAATTATTATTTTAATAGGTTAAGGACGTCAATATTTTACATCTTGTTTGGAAGATGGGAAGTTATTTTCAATGCCATGCAGAGGGTGAGGTTGCATCTGCTGGGGTTGGGATGGCTGAGGACACTTTCCTGCAGGGGCTCTGGGATCACAACTCCTTTATTCCATCACGGGGTTAGAAAACACCCAAAGAGCTTGTCCTGGGGACGGTATCCACACCCAGCAGTTAGAAAAACATTCCTCTCTTATCACCCTTAGTTAGAACAGGCTGGTGCTGGTTAGAACAAAGCTTGCTGAAGAAATAAACATCAGTAAAAGGAAGATGGGCTTCATCCTGGCTCCCACCAGGACAACCTCTGGAAGAGCCAGTGTGTATGTGTTTGTTAATTCATAACCCATGCACGTCCCCTCTATAAAGATTTCATGAATTGAGGTCAGTGAATTTTAACCACAGCAGAATGGAAGGTGTTTCTCCATCACTGGGAGGTGTGAGCTGTGATTGAAATGTAATCTAGCTGAATGAGTGCCTGCCAGCAGAGAGGCTGCTCAGCAAGTTGGATAATAAGCATCAGGACAGGGAAATCTCTTTGAAATTGTATCCTGATGGACCTGAGTAAGCAACAGAAGAACACAAGCTTGTCAGGAAAATCAGTTTTGCAGATGAAGGAAGATGTGACTCTTGCTTTCAAGCAGGAGAAAGGAGAGTTTTCAGGCTGTGTGGGATCCCAGTCCCAGCGATGGTGCACTGGGAACCAGCTGGGGCTTTGAAGGAGCTCCCAGTGAGCTCACCCTGGAGCAAACAGCCTCTCCAGATCCCTTCCTATCACCTGTCTCAGCACAGGAAACCCTTCACTGGTAGCATTCCACACAGTTTAGGGAGGTGCAACTTGGGTAGCTGGCTTACCTCAAGGAGAGGCAGCAAATTTACTGTCCTAATAATGGCTGAGCTAATAATGGGTTGCTAAATTACTTTTGGTTTGGGCTTTTTGTCCCCTAAATAATTTTTTTCTCATGAAAAGTTACCTGTTCTCACGGGGGAAATTGCCACTAAGGTATTTTTTTACAATACTAAAGTATTTCAGCAGAAAATGAAAAAGCACTTTGGTGTGCTGGCTCACTATTGCAGAGATGTTTGGGATCCTCCTTATGCTCTGCCTCTTGGTGCTCCTCCAGCTTTTTTGCCACCTGGTAGGTTATGGCAGGGTCCCCTCTCCAGGGTCCCTTCTAAGGGGTCCCCTCTGCTTGCCCAATAGGGTCTGTAAAGTCCTTGGAGCTAGTCCAGATCCTTAAATACAGCTTTGGAGGCAGGAAAGCAAACAGTTCCTCTTCCAAAAGATGATCAGACTGAAGGATGCCACAAGGACAAACTGCTGTCACCTTCTTATCATTCCTCTTTCTTCTTAGAGACATTCATCCCTTTGTGGTGGAATTCCTTCCTTTCCATTCACGTGGTGGTTCCCATGTTAAAAGGCACTGGCCAAGCTAAGCTCCTTTCTGTGCTTCTCACCTGTGTTTCTGTGGTTCCAACAGTCTCCCTGACTCTTTGTGCCTGCTCCCTGCTGCTGTTTTGATAAATCTGGGCCCTCTGCCTCTTCCAGCAAAAAGGAGGCAGAATTTTATTTCCATCAACAACATTTGGAGTTGGGGGGACCAGCTCTGCAAACTGTGGTCCCTGAGGAGCCTCATTGTTTCTCCAGGAAGTGATGACATAGCTGGGTTTAACTGCCAGCCATTGAACCCAAGGGGTTTATGTTTATGTGTTACATAAATGTGCCCCATGAAGTTTTCCAGGAGGGATTTGATAACATGGATAACAAGGACGTGTGTGTGTGCACGTGCAGGGCAGGTTCCCAAGGGGATTCTGCAGGGAGATGTGGCTGGGGAAGGTGCCTTGTTGCAGTTCTCATGCTTGCCAGTGGTGTTTCTAAATTGTTTTGACTGCAAGATGTGCTCTTCAAGATAACATTCTGCCTATTAGGGCTCATATTTAGCTGTGTAGTCATTAATCCCTTCCCCAGAGGCAGGGGGAGAGGAATTAGCACCTCTGCTCAGACACAGAGAAGGTGTCTGGTGGCATCTTGGGTGTGCAGCAGTGCTGCTGCCAGGGCCTGTTCAGCTCTCAGGAGGATGCTGCCCATCCCAACAGGTGTTATCCACTGAGCCTGTCATCCTTGGGAAACCATGTTGGACACAGAGGGCTTTGGAGGCACCACATTTAAGATTTAAGCATCTCCCCAATAGCAGTTTGATCTCCATGTGTCATCACGACCACAGCTGATGACCTCTCCTGTACCAGCCTAGAAATGTGCTACTTCTGATCACAAGGAAGGAGAGAAAAATGTCAGGTTGACACTGTAAAATGTTCTTTTCTCAACAGAAGCATAAAAGGGAACTGCACAAACAAGATTTGTGTGCCCAGAATCTGTAATCTTTATTTTTAGAAAGCCTTTTATGTAAATTTCTACTAGGCTGTTCTAGCAAGCCCTGATGTCTGACCTGCTTGGAAAAATTAACTGATTTGTTCTTAAGAAGTCACTTACCTGTGCATTTTGTGGAGAAATCTTTATTCTCTTAGCTTTTTCTGTTGTTGCAAAAAGAACAGTTTTAATTCAGCAAGCAGAGAAGCCCTTGTCAGTCACAGCCTTCTGGGATATTAAGCATCCCATTTTTCAAAGTCATTTTGATACTGAAGAGGAAAAATGATGGTGATGGCTGAAAAAAGAGAAACCAGGAGGATCCCTTTGTTCAGGTGAAATGGTTGTGCTGGAGCAGGGCATCCAAACAGGGAGCTTGAAGAGCACCTTGAGCATCAGTGCCTGAGCAGGATTGGGGGTGTGAGCTCCTGCTGCAGCATGGGGAGGGCAGGCTCTGCTGCCTCTGGGGACTAAGAGTCATCACCAAAGGCAGATTCATCAGTATTAATTAATCAGCCTCAGCCCAAGAGGCTCAATTTGAAGCATGGATGTAAATTGGCTGAAAAACAGAGGTGGTTCTTGTTCTGGTGGTTGATGGAGCACTGAGGTGATGTGTAGCTGGGAGGGGAACTGGGCTCTGCTGCTGAGCTGCTCCCTGTGGTCAGGGAAGGGTGTCTGAAGATTTTACTGTAGAATAATGACTATAATTACTTGTATACCTGGAATGTTTCCTTTCTTTTCATGTGCTCCCTTCTAAAAAGGCAGCCTGTCTTTATTCTGGTCTGCTTGCATGAGACGATGCTGTAAGTTTCCTTAAAATCCCACATTGACTGTATAAATGTTTCTTAGAACTGGTGTCTAATAATATGTAAAAAAACCCCTGCCAGGGTTGGGGGGCTCTTTTTCTCAGGACAGTGTGGTTTGGGGTGGTTTTGTCACTGAAGACGACATGATTTATTTGCATAAATTAGCATCTATGGGATTATGCTCTCACGTGCCTGGTAGTTAGAGCTAAATAAAAGAAATTGGTTGGAATTAGTTCCTCAAATATTGTGCAGAGCTATGGAAGTGTTTTCCAGGCCTTGTCTGTCTGCAGAATCTCCCAGAGGATCTGGTGCTGTGCTCTGTAATCCTGGGGTGCATCTCCTGGGAATGGTCGTTTGTTGGACTTGAAATTCCAACAGAATTCCAGAAGCTGCAAGTGAGCAAATCTGGGGATTCCAATAATCTTAAAGAGGATGTCAATATAAACTCAGATCCAGGTGGAGGGAAAACCTCACAGTGGAGCAGAGAGCAGGTTGTGCTGTGTGGTTACTTTGTTAACTCTGCAATTTTGGGAGTTCAACAAGAAATGTTAAAAAAACTCTTCTGCCCCCCGCCCCCCAACTAAAACTTGGCTCTTGCTCTTCATTTCCAGCTGTTATTTCCCGAAACCAAGAAGGGCCTGGAGAGATGGGGAAGGCTGTGCTCATTCCAAAGGATGAGCAGGAGAAGATGAAAGAGCTCTTCAAAATCAACCAGTTCAACCTGATGGCCAGTGACTTGATTGCCCTTAACCGGAGCCTGCCCGACGTGAGGTTAGATGGGTGAGTGTCCTGCTGCCACCTGGGGAGCTGTGGCACCAGAGTGCAGGAATGAATTCATTTGCATTTCCAGGAGAACTGGAAGGTTTTTAAGTGATGAGAATATCAATATCAGTTTTATAAATGTTCATAATTATGCAGCCAGCATTTCATAGGTAATCCCAGACTGGTTTGAGTTGGAAGGGACCTTAAAGATCACCCAGTTCCAACCCCCTGCATGGGCAGGGACACCTCCCACCAGCCCAGGCTGCTCCAAGCCCCATCCAACCTGCCCTTCAACACTGCCAGGGATGGGGCAGCCACAGCTTCCCTGGGCAGCCTGGGCCAGGCTCTCACCACCCTCACAGCACAGAAGTTCTTCCTGATGTCTAACCTAAATCTCTCCCAGCTTAAAACCCTTCCCCCTCATTCTATCACTACACACCCTGGAACAAAGTGCCCCCCCCCAGCTGTCCTGTAGAACCCCTATAGCACTTGGTTTTATCTTTATTATTATATTAATTGACACTTTAACATCATTAAACAGAAGATGCAGCCGATACCAAAACCTACACACAGGGTTTAGGTTTCTTTTAGTTTGATCCCTAGATATTTCTGGAATAATCAGAATTTGATAGAGCAATTTTCACAATGTTTTGCAGCAGTACCAAAACTGAAGGGTGATCTGTGGTTGGGGTTTCTTGGAGGTTTGGGGGTTTTTTAAGTCTAGTGACTTATAATCGTCATTTTTGAGTGAAATCTGAAGTCTGTGTGGTGAGTTTGAGACTGTGGAGTAGCTTGGGGGAGTATTTCATCAAGTCCACTGAGTTATTTTAAATGGAATTTTAAGGATTCATTTTTCCAGCCACAGCAGTGGGCTCATGTTTACACGTGGATTTGGTGTGAAAGTACAAATGTGCCAGTTTATCCCTATTTAGGTGGGGGTTCCTTTTGCTACCTAAAGATCCTGGAGCAAGTGATGATACTTAAAAAATTGATTCTAGGTCTGCTGTATAAATAGTTTTCAGCAGGGAGGATTTCTGCCTGGCTCCCAGGAGCAGTGTCAGGGCTGGCTGCTGGAGGGGCTGTTGAGCCCATTTTGTTGAACTCAGAACTTTTGCACAGAGGGGGATTTTCCCAAGACTGGAATGGGATTGCCCAATGGGGGATTGCCAAGCTTCCCTACTTTTGGAAGCCAATTTTTAGGGATGGGCACCTTTTTTTTCCCCCCACTTAATTTGTCACAGAAACCTGGTGTTGATTGAATTTTATGTTTTTCCAATTCATTTTTTTTTCCCTGTTCTCCTCCACTCACATAAATAGTCTGATCTGTGGGTGCTGCAGTTTACAACAAGTGACAGTTTCAGAGACATGCAGGCAGAGCTAAATGGAAACCAAGTGGTCAGGTCTTCTAATGTGTCCCATCACTTCTGCTGTTTAAACTGAATTGTCACTCAGCTGAGATCCTGCTTATTGTGCTTGGAAACGAAATTCTTCAGCTTCCCATTTAAAACAAAAGAAATACTTTGCTCTCTGGAGTTTCTTTGTAAATGCCTGCCAAAAAACTGGAGGTAGAAGCACAACTTCACCAACAGCACCACATCTCCAGGGCTTGGGAACCCCTCCAGGGATGGGGACTCCCCCCCTGCCCTGGGCAGCCTGGGCCAGGCCCTGACAGCCCTTTGGGGAAGGAATTGTGCCCAAGATCCTCTATAAATGAATAGTTCTGCTCAGTCTAAGGGAGATGGGCCACCTACTACTGAGAGAAATCTGTCTTAAGTGCATTACTTTGATCCAAAGAAGTTCTGTGTTCTTTGTTGAAAGGACAAAGTATTAGGGGATTTAGAATAAAAATCATTTTCTCATTTTCCTCTTCAGACAGATGCTTTCTGTACATACCCTGTCTTTAGGGAGCATTAAATTGCTCTGAAAGCCAATTCATAATGCTTTGCTATTGGAGAAGAATACAATTTTATGGTTAATATGTTTAGCTTATGACAGGAAGACAGCTTTTTATTGACATGGGGGACAGAGGCTCCCGCTTTGCTCTGGGTGTCCAACCTACTCTGCCTTTCCCATTATAAATGCCAGTTTTTCCTGTGGGAGCTGGGAGGCTTTGTGTGGCAAGGTGAGATGAATAGAAGAGAAATATGTGCTTGCTAGACGTGGTGTCTGGTGGGAAACCCACTCCAGGGGTGTCTGTGGGCAGTGCTGTGCTGTGAGTCGTGAGGAGCGGGTGAACGGACCAGGGTTGTCGCGGCTGGAACGTGTTGGATCAGTGGGTTGTTTGGGAAGCAGCTGCAGTAAATGCAGGAGAAGACTTGAGGCCAGAGAGACCAAACTTTGCAGGAAGATGGTCGGGATAAGGGATCAGCCCTGGGGAGCTCTGCATCGTGGGCTCAAGTTGCTCCATGGAGGTTTAGGTTGGGCGTTAGAAGAAACTTCTTCACTGCAAGGGTTGTTAAACACTGAGAAGGGCTGCCCAGGGAGGTGGTTGAATCCCCATCCCTGGAGGTGTTGAAGAGCTGTATAGATGTGGCCCTGAGGGACATGGTTTAGCACTGGACTTGGCAGGGCTGGGATGGTGGTGGGACTCAGTGGTCTTATAAAGGTCTTTTCCAACCAGAATGACTCTGTTCCTGTGATCACACTGAGTGAGGTGTCTGCAGATGGGGCTCTGGGCAGCAGCCAGGCTGCTCTCCACTCCTGTCATGGTGCTGGTGATTAAGGAGGGAAGGGCATTTGTAGAGGACTCATTAACTCCTGGCACTGCCTGACCTCCCTCTTTTATCTATCACATGCCAACATTTTGCTGTGCCTAAGTGGCATTTGGCCTTTCTCTGGACGTTTGCCACGTCTCCAAGTCTCAGTCTGGGTCCTGGCTGCCCGTGCAAGCATCTCAGAGGATCTGTGAGCTGTCGGGTTGGGGGGGGCATCTCAGGGGCTGCAGGGGGTCTCAGGGACTGGCACCAGCCCTGGGCACCTCAGCCCTGGTTTGCACGAGGTGGCCCTGCCTGATGCAGAGACCTTCATTCAGACTTAGGCAGGTTCCATGTTGAGCTGCTAGCTGAGCAGCCAAGTGCCCTGTTCTCAGTGATGTCCTCATCCTGCTCCCAGCAGGGTCAGGGCCAGCTCAGGGCAGGACATGCTGTGTCCAGCTTCCCTCCCCATGCCTTCAATGGAAATAATACTCCAGCTCACCCCTTTGCCCCATATTTATAAGGTTTTATGATTTCCAGCTGTGCTTTAGCCCTAAATACAAAGTGTCATCTCCTGGTGCCATTCCCCACTGCCTCTTCATTTTTACTGGGCTTGTGCATTGTACTGGTATCTCCACATAGCAAATCCATGTCTACAAATAGATGTAAGAAAAATGATAATCAACAGCCCCAGAAAAAGAAGAGCCTTGTGGTGACTTCTCATTCTAGAAATTAATTCTTCAGTTTTGCTCCAGTACGTTTATGGGGAAAGTCACTGGGAAGAGGGCAGGGAGAGGGAAGTCTTCCAACCCAAACCAGGCTGGGGTGCTGGGATTCTGTGAAGTCATACCCTGACATGGTGGCTTTGTCATTGTTGTGGGTATTATATTTGTATAGTCAAGTGTTTGATATATGTTATAAATTTGTATGACATATATATTTTATATGTATTGTATGTATCTAAAATGAATCCATTCCTTCTGTTCCTGCTCTGGCCTTCCTCCTTCCTTTCCCTCTTCAATCCTCACTGCACTTTTTATGCATGTGGGGAATGTTACCCCATCCTCTTAACGTGGGTGTACAAGGTTCTGCTTTGCCAAGGCTGCTGCTGTTTGCACAGTGGCTTGTGTGTCCATCTGGGAGTCAATCCACAGTCTGGAGACTCAGAGTAAGGACCCAAGATGCTTTGGCTGCCTCCACCACTGCAGATGGAGCCTGGGCTCTCATGGTTTGGGGTCATTGCTGCTGAGGTGCCTCCAAGTGATCCAGGTGGTGCTGTGCAGCGTGGAGGGGCTATAAATGGCAGCAGAGTCTGAATAAGAAACATGTATTTAAGGAGGAAGAAAATCTGACAGAATCTTAGGGTTGGTTTTTTTTACATGAGCACACAAGAGAGCTCCTGAAACTTTTAATGATGTTTTGTTGCTGAGGAAATGTTTGATGGCTGTGAGCTGATTCTGGATTTAGATTGCAACCACAGTACTTGTGTTTGTGAGGTGAGGGAGATTTTTTTCCTAAGTAAAATTGTTATATTTCTAAAAAAAAATAAAAAGTGTCCTGGTGAGAGTGGCAGGGAGACAAGGCTGGGTTGGTTGGTTGCTGGCTAATGAGAAATTCCCTGTAGAGTTTAGGGAAATGAGACAGCTGCCTCTTCTCTTGTCCTTCTCCCAAACAGGGGTGTTTGTGCACAGACCTGCTGGGATGTCCTGCCCACCACAAGGCCCACGAGAGCCTGCTCTGGCCTCTGCAGGAGCCAGTTTTCCCATCAGGACACCACCAGATCCACCTGAGTGCTGTAAGGAAGCAGGGTGGCTGAGTCCCCTCCTGCCTCTGCTCCTGTGTGGATGCAGCAATTCCAGCTAATGACTGTGCCTGCCACACAAACATCTGACTTGCTTCCCATCCCCCTGCTGGTGTCCACCAGAGAACGTCCCTCTATTGCCTGAGTCCTGCTGGTAATGGCCAGCTTGAGCAGTGTCAGGTCTAATTTGGAGCAGCTATTTGTTAAACCTTAAACCCAATTGAATTCAACGTAGAAATGTTTAGTTTTATTTCTGAGTATTTTCTCTGGCAAGGGAAGAAATCCATCTTCAATCTCTTCTGTGTGAGTGAGGTGCTAAGTGCTGTTCTACAAATTGCCAAACCATTATAATTGGATTTTCTTCCTGAAACCCAGGCTGGAGGGAGCTGCTGCCTGGTGCTTGTGTGTGTGAGCTTGGAGCATGTGGTTCTGATCAGAAACAAGCTCACACCGTGATCCTCTAAACAGTAATCATGGCTTAAGCTCAGTGCCACAGTTTTGTGTTGGCTTTTCAAAGCAAAACC